TTAAGGTAAAAAGTGGATGTCTCACACCAAACCAAATAAAATGAAAACAATGGAGAGTATGCAGAAAAAAAATCCAGTCCAGATAAGCATAGAAAATTCCCTTAGACACATGAATTTACAGTGTCACAGTGTCTTCTAGGAGGAACCAGAAGTGAACATAAAATTCACTAAAATCCCTTACACAATAATGTATATAAATAAGAGTGTAAACTACTGTGTATTTGGTTTACTTAAGAATGTGAGTTGAGTCATTCTCAATATTTTGCATTCATAGGAGTCCCAAGTTAAATTGAATGAATGAAAAAATCCTATAGTTTTTGCCATATATCCATATCTGGATTAGGTTTTTAATTTCTGGCTTATATCAGGACTCTGCCAAGAATCAGATAAGGATTCTTTTCAGATCTCTGTGGAGTTATATTAATATTATATAATTAATTATATTATTTATTATAATAATGATGTTATATTAATATTACATAATATTAAACCCCCTCCCTCCTTCCAAGAAAGAAATTCCCTTCTTGGAACTGCTGCTTTCCACATTCCAAACATGGGGTTCAAGAGAGCTGAACCATGTTCTTAGCTGATCCCATCCCACTGACTCAATTAACTGGACCAGGCTGGGTCCCTGCCTAAAGTCAGGACAATCCTCTCTTTCCCTAAAATATTTCTATCTGGAATTAAGAAATGAAGTCAGGGCCCCTTTTGTGCTCTGTCCGACAACAGTGAAAGCCAAGATCTACTCAGAGAGAGGGATATGGACACAACCACAAGGAGCAGAGAGGAAGGCAGAGGGAGAGAATTCGATAGCACTTTGGCTCCCAGTTTTATTGTTTTGTTTTGTGTTAAATTTGACTGCTTCCTTGTCTTTCCCAAAGGTTGACTTTTGATCCTGCCTTCAATTTGCTTAAAACACCTCAATATTCTCCCAATAAACCCTTCCTTTCTCCTACACAAGTTCAATTTGGATTTCGGTTGCCAGTAACCAAGGGGATCCTGAGTAACAAGACAATATATTATTATCTCACTCTTCAAAGGATGAACATGAAAATGTATAATAGCTAAAGGACTGGTGGTATTCCCAGTTACACCTTTCTTTTCTCTAGCCTTGATAGGTGGCTTGCCGTAAGCTTAATCTCAAGAATTAGGCTGATATCAAAGTGAAAAAAAAAAACCCTTCACATTGTTATACCACACTAATGAAAGGACAATCGCTGTAGGCGATAGCAGGAAACAGTAAGGGCTTTCAGAGGTCTTCTTTCTTTCATTCTTTTTATATCATTATATTTTTAAAAATCCTTTGCTTCTGAACTTTTTGCTCCACAGGCAGTGCAGCTGGGAAGCCATGGGTGGTCCCTTCCCCTCTCCCCAGGACAGCCACAGATGACTTGTCTCTTGGTCAGTGCCCCTAACAAAGCAGGGTCCAAGGCTGGGAGAAATCAAAGGAGCTATTTTTACAAAACAGGGGTTTTTGTGCATGCTGTGCAGAGACAATCTAGGACTGTCTGGCTGGAGCTGGGGCGTCTGAAACAATTGGAGAAGGGAGGCAACAACATGGAAGACCCCTCTGCTGGGTGCCTTCCTGCCTCCCACCTCCAAACCCACAGGTCAGAGGAGCACAGAGACCAGTGCCCAGCTGGTTCCGAACAGCCTTTGGATCTTCCCTGGGAGACAGATTTGGGAAGCAGAAAGTTTTCGCTTGATTGGTGGTAGCTGTCATTGTTCCTGTTGTTTTTAGGAAAACTTAAGACAACAAAGCACCACTTGACACCCCCCGCCGTGTCAGTGATCGGGAGGTAAGGACAGAGCACCAACCAAGGTCAAAGTGTTAGTTGCTCAGCTGTGTCCAACTCTGACTCCTGCAGACTGTTTGTAGCCTGCCAGGCTCCTCTGTCCATCGGATTTCCCAGGCGAGAATACCGGGGTGAGGAATCTTCCTGACCCAGGGATTGAACCCAGGTCTCCTGCACTGCAAGCGGCTTCTTCACCGCCTGAGCCAGCAGGGAGGACTTGATTGACCTAGCATCCCCTGCCCTGGCTCCTAACACAGAGGCCATCCCACGGTGAATGGGTCTGCGGGCCTAAGCGCCACCCGGCAGGGCAGGCACCACCCTCTCTGCTGCTGAGGCCCACACAGCAAACTATTATTTTAAAAAAGAAAATCTGAACTCTTCACTGCCTCTCTCGCCAACCCAGTCACATGCACCCCACCTCCCCCTCACAATCTATACAATTGTCCCTCCCTCGCTGTTTGGGGGGGAAGAGGTATAAAAGCATTGCAATTCAGTGTCTGTTCCCCTTTCTTTGTCCTTACTGGTGGGCATTAGCGGCAGTCTGAAGACTGGCCTGAGGTTAGCCAAATGAACTCTAGTGGGTGAGATTTCTAGCTAGTGTGTGGGTGGGTGTGTGTGTGGTTGAGGGTGGGATGGGGCGGGGTGGTTCTTAACAAATACACACTAAGAATCATGGAAAGAAATGCCCAGAAAGAACCCCTTCACACACAGGCCCTCTCTTCTGCACCGTTGCAGAAAGCATCATGCCCACACAGACAGCGTGGCTGCATTTAAGGTTACACAAGCCAGCCTAATTTTGCAATGTGTCACTGAGTGAGTAGAGTGAGGATTATGATTATTTTTTATCATTAAAACTACTTTTGCTGAGTATGAAAATCAGTGAAGGTGTTTTATTACTTGAGCTGTAGTTAGATCCACTGTGTATTGCTTTTCACTGTTTTTAAGCCCTTAATCAAAGATTTCATAGCCTTTGGGCAGAATCTTGTGGGTTATTTCACAAATGGGCTCCTGGATATGTTAACTGTGACTTTTAAAACCTGGAATTTATAGTCAGGTGTATATTGTTTCCCTTCAAGCAGTTTCCTGAGGAGACAGCAGTAATGCTGAAATTGTTTAAAGTCTTCTGGTTCCTCCCTAAGCATTGCCTACAGGAAGAGCATGTGCTTTAAAGAGAACTAGACCTAGGTTTGAATTCTCACTTTACCACTCACGTGTTGTCTTATCTGATAATTAACTTTTCAGTCTGCACTTTCATCTTTAAAACAAGGTTACTAAAACCTACCTTGCAAGGTTGTTGAGAGATTTAAAGAAGATAGTTGATGCAAAGCCCTGGTATAACTTGGGAAACATATAAAGGCTAAATAAATAGTTACTCTAAAGCTTGCCTTTAGAGCTGGCAATGCTTTTAAAAATATCCCCAGTGGTTACAACCTTGGTTTTCTGGATTTTGAAATGGCCAAAACTTCTTTAAATTTTTTATTTAATTCCAAGTCTGTTCCCATGTGGAAGGTGATCAAGCTGAGGCCCTCCATACTGGTTTTGGTCAGATATAAAGTTGACCTCTTGTGTAATAAGGCTGCCTTGGTTGTATTACTTGAAAATTGGTTCTGATGAAAACTGCCAAAAAGAATTGCTAAAAGTGGTGGCAGAGTCTTCCATGGTGATTATTAGCTTCTACTCCAAGTCTACACCGCTTCATCTGCTATGGCCCCTTGATCCCAGCTGGAGTCTCAGAGGCACAGTCAGTCCCAATCAAGGCCACTTGGCTTCCATTCATTTGGAGGCCTAACATTCCATTTCCACATTTACAAGGGCTGGATTCCTGAATGGGCCCTCAGTCACTCTGCTGGCAACCGGCTCAGGTGCCCAAGAGTAATAAATGTCACCTTCTTAAGAGGCTGCTCTTACCGTCCTCTCAATATTGACCCAATTTCAACCAGATTCTTCCCAGTTCTCTGTCCTGAGAACTCAACTTGCTGAGACCTTTCTGTTCCCCCCACCTGATCTCCCTCATGCTTGTCAATTCTCCTGCCATTTGAAATAGGTCCTGCTATACAGAGGGGAGAATTCCTGCATGGAAATTTACCAAGTTCTTCTTTTGCAATCAGTAGAATCAAACTCTGGCTTGTTTCAACAGAGTAATTTATTAAAGGATATTGAGACTTGACAGGGGATCAGAGAAAGCTGGACAAACAGGCTCGAGAAATGGGAAAGAGTAAGACATTGAACAAGACCAGAGCTGAATTCCTGCCAGAGTCCTTCTGGTGGGAACACTGCTGCCGCGACCACTGAATGTTGGACGTCATGGCTTGAACCCTACCTCTGCACTGAGTATCAGATGCTGGCTTACTCTAGGTGACTGTCACTATATACCCCAAAAGGATCTCCACTGAGCCCAATTCTTTGCATAAATGATTTCAGACTCAGAGTCTGCAGGGGGCCAATTTGACAGGTTAATCCCTGGTTACAAACTGATGGCTTAGCTTTGAGGAAGCCTGAGAAGGTATCTTTGGCATTTTCAGTTTTTACCACAGGTCAGCAAAGGACAAATATCCACTATAGGTGTATGGTAACTAATGATCCATAATAACTAAATATCCACAATAAGTAATTACCCACACACTGTCTGCTTTGAAGAGACATCCTTTCTAATGCCATGAGCTTTGGCACATTGGGATTGTTAACATTTGAAACACTTTCCTGGAAAGACTTAAAAGAGTTTATACCTTTAGTCTCAGAATGTTCATTTCTCAGCCACTATAATAATCATATAATGTGAAACAGACTAAGAGTTCTCCAAAATTCAGGAATAGATAAATATAACAGGAAGGTAGTAATGCTCATAATTGGTAGAAGGTAGAAAAGTATTTTTTCATTTCTACTTTCTAGCTTTTTCAGATTATTATTACAAATGAGATGTATTACTATATATTATATATATATATAGTCATGTACATATACAAATATATATGTAACCTTTAAAATATCTATTTCATTTCCTTATGGTCACTCTTGATAAAAGAGTATATCAGTTAAGTTAGCTTATTCTAGATTTTGAAAGACTAAGAGCCACATAATCAAATGCAATGACCCACACAGTTATCAAAGTCACTTTAAAAACAATTGTGGGTATTTGAGTATGGACTGGGTATTAAATGATATTAGGTGATTATTTGGAGAAATGTATACTAAAGTCACTAAAGTCTACAACTTAATTTTAAAAGATGAGCAAAAAATTGTGTAAAGGAAATATGGCAAAATATTAAGGGTAGACATAAGTGAAGTATTAAAAAGATCAAGAATAATCAGACAGAAAAGGGAAAAGGATGATATAAAGGATGTGAATATTAACCAGAAGAAACACAGTGTAGCTATATTAGTATCAAAGTAGTCTCCGAAGCTGGAGAAGGAAATGGCAACCCACTCCAGTATTCTTGCCTGGAGAACCCCGTGGACAGAGGAGCCTGGTGGGCTGCAGTCCATGGGGTCGCACAAAGTCGGACACGACTGAAGCGACTTAGCATGCATACATGCATTGGAGAAGGAAGGGGCAACCCACTCCAGTGTTCTTGCCTGGAGAATCCCAGGGACGGGGGAGCCTGGTGGGCTGCCATCTATGGGGTCACACAGAGTCGGACACGACGGAAGCAGCTTAGCAGGAGCAGCAGCATTCTTGGAAGCAGAAAGAATTCCTAGAGACAAATGACACTTCATTATCAGAAAAAGGTTACATTCACAAGACAGAACAATTCTAAATTTGTATGCACCTAATAACTTTGCCTCCAAAAATATATACATAGCAAAAACTAAAGAGAGAAATGAAAAAAACTAAAGAGAGAAATGAATCCATACTTTTAGTGAGAGATTTTAGCACACATTTTAACCCTCTGGAAATAACAGGGTAAGCAAACAGTCAAGCCAGAAAAAAAAAAAAAAGCATATCAGCAAATACATATGATTTGAGCAAGATTAACAAACAGTGTGATTGATATACAAGGAACATTCCTACCAACAACTACAGAAAACGTTTCCTTCTTCAAGTGCACTTGTAGCCCTTGTAAAATCAACGTATGCTGGACAGCAAAGCAAGTCTCAGCTGCTTTCCCAAGACTGAAGTCTCACAGAATCTGTTCCCTGGACGTTGCAAAGTTCTGCAAAAATACCAATAAGATTGTGGACATAGACGGGGAAGGAGAGAGTGTAACAAATGGAGAGAGTGGCACTGAAATACATACATTACCACGTGTAAAATAGCTAGCTAGTGGGAAGCTGCCGTATAACACAAGGAACTCAGCCCAGTGCTCTGAGATGACCTAGAGGGGTGGGATGGGGGAGGGGGTGGTGGGACAGAGACTCCGGAGGGAGGGGACATACGTTTACTTACAGCTCATTCATACGTTGTATGGCAGAAACCAGTACAATGCTGTAAAGTAATTATCCTCCAATAAAAAAAGAAAAACATTAATATGAATAGAAATATAGATACCATTAATAAGTTAACTAGAAAGTCCACAAATATTTGGAAATTAAAAAACACAACTCTAACTTTCTTGGGATACGAAGAAGAAATCACAAAAGAAACTAGAAAATACCTTGAACTGAATAATAAAGAATAAATCAACTTCTCTAAGATGTTTCATGCTACACTAGGCTGCTAAACAAAAGATAGTCAGTTTTTGTTTAGAACAGTAATATTTCTCTTATCCAAAACAGAGAGATACATGACCAGGTAAAAAATATCAAGGTCAACACTAAGAAACATCAATTCAAACTGCTTCAAAAAACAAGAGCCTAAAAAAAAAAAAAAAATACAAGGGCTCTGGATGAGTCTTTAATTTGCCTAATGTCAAACAGTACCAAAGAGTTGGACATGATTTAGTGACTAAACAACAACAAGACAGTATTAGGAAGGAAATGAGTCTGGCTGAAAGGTTCAAATGCATTTTTAATATGCCTCTGATGGTGTTAATTCAGATTCACTAACCAGTACTACCCTCTGTCAGAGCAAAGAGCGAGGAATAACTAAGGCTTTCTGGCTGAGTAACGACATACGACAGCGCCGGAAATGTCACCCAGTGTAGATAAAATATGACAGAGAGGAGCTGTAAGCCTGAAATAGACTCAGAGAGCTTTAAACTAAGCATTTCAGTAACCTCCACCATAAGGAACGAGTGCCTTGGTCAGGAATTTAGAAAAGAGGCATTTGGTGTCTGTTTCAGCCTGCACATTTTCAGGAAAGAAGTCTGTTCTACAATCAGAGCTCCTAATCTGAGCTCCCCCACAGATTACACGGCTTCCATTGTGGCTCAGCTGGTAAAGAATCTACCTGCAATGTGGAGACCTGGGTTCAACCCCTGGGTTGGGAAGAGCCCCTGGAGAAGGGAAAGGCTTACCCACTCCAGTATTCTGCCCTGGAGAATTCCATGGACTACAGTCTATGGGGTCGCAAAGAGTTAGACTCGACTGAGCGACTTTCACTTTCACTTTCACAGATTACACTGTGTCCTTGGGCAAAGCATTACACATAGCTGATCTTCGTGAAAGAGGGCGTATTTCAATCATAATAACGCATGTGGATGTGTTTTGTAAACTGTAAAGGGCTGCATAAATGTTAGTGATTACTATGTTATAGTACTGTCCCAGCTGAACTTTTAGGTCACTGCACAGCACAAACATTCGTAGACGGTTTTTTGAAGTAACCACTTGGAAACTGAACACTCCTCTCTTCTGTACTATACCACTTCCTGTCCCTTTTCAAATTCTCTCTCTCTTCTTTGCAAAGAATTCTCTCTCTCTCCTTTGCATTACTTCTGTAATGACACTAACAGTGGTGGGGGAACTGAGCATATAATAATGTGGCAGACTCTGTGCTGTGTACTTTATCACGTCATTATCTTTGTATGCATTAAACATACATATTATTATATATCTCCATCTCTTAAGATAATCTTTCAAGGTAGAGACTTCCCAAATGTCTCAGAATTGGTAGCATTGAAGCCTGGGGTGGGGGTGAGAAGGGTGGCCTGAGGATAAGAGGTGGTGTAAACTACTCCTCTTTTTAAAAAAAAATACCGGGGAGAGGAGAGGTGGGACAAGCATACAGATTTCAAGAAGGTTCCTGGAGTGATCTGTCTTCTCTGGTCTTTTGTGAAAAGCTAAACTACTAGGTTAGTTAATCTGGCCAAACTGCTAGAGAGAATAGAATTTGCACTCAAATCCAGGCCTCTGCTAGCAAACTCATGCTTTTTGTACTATATCTCAACAAATTATATGACATAAATTTAAATTTATTTCTACTTCTTCATCATTAGTAATAAATGATCTTTGTAGAAAACCTCAACTAGATAGCACAGCTTCATCTGTAAATCAAATGTTAAGATCTATCTCCCAGATTACAATAAATAGGCAGAATAACAGAAATAAGTTACATGACACCATAAAGAATCAGACAAATCCATCAATAGAATTTTATATGTTCTATAAGATGATGAGCCTGTGCTTTTCAAAAAGCCAATGTCATTAAAAAGAAAAGCTAGGGGAGCAGTTCTATAGTAAAAGAGACACGGGGCAATTCTTTGGCGGTCCAGAGGTTAGGACCCCTCACTCTCACTGCTGAAGGCCCAGCCTTACACCCTGATCTGGGAACTAAGATCCCACAAGCCGTGCATTGAGGCCAAAAAAAAGAAAGGCAAAATCAAATTAATGTGTGAACCTTTGTCTGGAGAACCAGGATTTGGTGCAGAGGGCATTAAAAGACATTCTTGGGGTAATTAAAGCAACCTGAATGTGAAACAGACATTGCATAATTCTATAGGATTGGTACTAATTTGGGGGCAGCTCATCTAAGTTAGGTGTGATAATGGTATTATGGTACATATGAGAGTGCCCGGATTCTTGGAGATGCACGTTCTGTTACTTAGAGGCGAAGCATGGAGTCTGCAACTTTTAAATGGTGCAGAAAAATGTATGTGTGTATACATAAACATATGCACATATACGCACACAGATACAATCATACAGAATAAAAAATGTTAACAGTTGGTAAATCTAGTAGATATGAATGTTCATGTTACTGTTCTTTCACGTTCTCTGATATTTTTCAGGAAAAAAAATAAACAGACAAAAAGACTATTAGCTTCATCAATGCAGGACTGAAATATGCCATTGCCCAGGTATAGTGCCTGGCTCATGGAAGATGCTATAAATAATTGTTGAAAGAAGAAGTAAGTCGGGAAGGAAGGAAAGAAGGAAGGGAGGTGGGGAGGGAAGAAAAAAGGGAGAGACGGGGGAGGAAAGAATGCCCTCCCTCCTACTGTCACCCTGGCACCCCCAGCCTGAGTGTGATGGTATACATCTTTCAGGACTTTCTTCATCACAGGGATAAATCCATTTTTTAAAGTGCTACATTTGTAGAATGAAGTGAAGTGAAGTCGCTCAGCCGTGTCCGACTCTTTGGACCCCGTGGACTGTAGCCTACCAAGCTCCTCCGTCCATGGGATTCTCCAGGGTGCCATTGCCTTCTCCATTCCAATGCTAATGTAATTCATTTTAGGCTCAATAATCATATGTGTTTCATTCATTATGTCTAGCACTTCCTTTAAAAAAAAAAAAAGAAAACCTCTCCTCTTGCAAAATGAGAAAAAGGGGAAAAATGATAATAAATGATATATATATCATTTATATATATATATATAAATGATAATAAAAATTGAAAGGAATGCTTTCTAACTGGTTTCCCCTTTTAAAATACAAATATTGGGGCTTCTCTGGAGGGCCAGTGGTTAAGACTCCATGCTTCCACTGCAGGGGGCAGTGGCTGAATCGCTGGTCAGGGAACTAAGATCTTGCATGCCATGTGGCATGGCTATGGCCAAAGAGATAATAATAATAAATAAAATAAAATGCAAACATTCCTAAGAAAGGTAATGCAATGCAATCATTCCCAAGCAACTTTAAGGCAAATGAATTTATCAGAATTTCCTAACTACAGATACTAAAAATTATGGCTACAGTAGGGACTCATAGGACAGATTATTAAAAGGTGAAGAGAAAAGGGGAGGGGCAGACACAAAAGATAAATTTGATTTTCTTAGCAAAATTCACCTGGGGGCTCATGGGAGAAATGGTTAATTCAAGGGAGAGGGCAGAGGAAGCACAAGATGAGTCATTTGCTGTAGAAAGTAGGGTAGTACTTCAAAGCATCATGAAAACATGTCAAAAAAATAAAATGATAACAGATTGAAGGGGCTGGCCAAATCAGAAAATTTGAGCATCAAAATCTAAAAGGGCGGAAATAGATGATAACCCATTGAATACCATAAGAATCCATGAGTTTGGACTTAAATAAGTAAAAAAAAGTAAATGTGGAGAAGGAAAGCTCTTCCTTATAGCAAAAGGACAACTAATAAATCTAGAAGTAACATCACTAAACAGTGCAAAGTAGTCAAAGAAAAATTTTATAGACAGGATATTGACATAGTCTCAAGATATCTCCCCACAAAACACTTGTAATTTACAAGGAGAAAAGC